AAATTAAGATGATTTCAAATTCGGCTACTAAAAAACCGATTCGTTTGACATTTGGTATGAAACAAACTCTACTGAATTTTCGTGCTAGGCACTATGCTACCGTACTTCTCATTTTTTAACACAGATCCGCTTCGCTTACAGTAAGAAATCCCTATTGAAAGTTCTTATGTCTCCTCAGACTGTCTGGATGTCTTATTACAATTTACTTAACTTCACTGTGCTTTTGTAGTAGACTTTTCACTGTCTTAACTTCTGCTGATTCACGTAAAAGCAACGCCGACCATACCGGAAAACAATTAAAGATGATATCGTATGTGAACAAGGCATCGACTGCTTTTAAACATCCAATCTGGCCCAAGAGTCCACCTCATACGTGCAAATCCCCGAGATACTGGCCCTGTGCAGCCCTTTGATATTCTTCTGCGCACGTTTAAACTAGCTGTCCCCATTCCAGCGACAGTTGGACGATGCGTTAAAATTTGCTCCGTTTCTGATCTTTGAACTACTCTTGGTACGCAATCACCAATCGAAAAACTTGGTCCAGATCCTCATCGAAGGACTTCCAAAGGACATTTACTCTACGAAAGAGGCTTTGTGGTAGTTTGCACCGGTGATCGCTTGCTCTACTATTACAGTGGCGTGCAGATACCTATTAACCTTTCGTGCTTGTTCATTCATGTTGATGGATCCCTTTTTGGAATAGTTCTGTAGGATGAGCATGCTTAACACAACGGAGTTTAAATAAAGTTTTACTCAAGAGTCGAAAAGCAGCAGGTGACCACCTTGGCTTGCTGAGAAATATCGGCGATGACTGTCTCACAAATACCTAGAGGCAATGGACTTCACGAATGCTGTGTTATTTGCTTAAGGACCTATCGTTCGGCCACGAGTGAACGCTCAACTGTGTGACCATCATTTTGAGGGGACACGACTGGGCCCATTCGTCACGAATGCAACCTATTTCAGATAGCCACGTACGGACTGGTCCCGTGTGACTATTTCTTCGGGATGAGGCTCATGCGGCTTGTGAGAACTACTATGAACTACTCATATTTTGTTTAGTTTGACCGGCTTGATATTTTGTTTTTTTTTAATTACCATAGTTAATCTATGAGTTTTGCTTGATGAAAAATCGCATCCTGAATAGTCAGGCAAATATCGTCTCCACAGTGAGTTGATACTTTTTAGTCAATCTGGGTAGGAAGCCAACTTGACTTCACTGTTGTTATATATCGTTGCTGTTTTTTTTCTTTTCTATAAAATTCATCTTAAATTACTTGAAAATCCCGAGAGTAGATAACTCTCAGACCAAAAGAACGTTGGCATTTCCATAAATTTTTGCCTGCATGAGATCTTCCCTTATCGCTGTGGGGTTTAAAATGTGACCCATGGGCTAGACGCTTCATGCTGTTCCCAGCTGGGCCACGCACCCGGCAACTGATCTGTACAGCCTTGGAACGTGGAAAAATAGGTGAATTGCTTTGCTGGCTGCCGGTGAGTTGATACATCATTGTGTCGGCGAAGACATCAGCTCTGAACCTGGCCGTGAAACGAATTCATTCGACAAGCAGTTATAAGGGATCAACCTCAACCTCTGGTGATTGATGTTACCAAAGTAGAAAATCTATAAATCCAGGCCAGCTTCAAGTCCAAGGTCTGGAACTTACAAGCTTAGAATGGGAGACTGATGCTCATCTGAATAAAACCTGATGACTAATCACCAATTGTTATGTTATTCAAATAAGGCTGAATGTCACTTTGCCTTCCCTACTCCCCTACACAACCGGAGCGCTCCGGAATTCTCTCAGAGTATGCAACAAATTATATCCTACCTTAGCGGTGAGCCAAATTTCTCGCAGTTACCAGTGAATGGGAGAAGGCTTTTCCCGCGGCATTACTTATTAGACAGTGCCAGCTGAACAGTTACAGACTATTGGACAGGAAAGCATCCTGTTTACAAAAACTGAATATCCATCTCCTCCTTGAACGCGTCTTCCTCAACTTTCCTGGACATTCATTGGCTGTTGCTCAAATCCAAGCGAATGCTACAAAGCGACTCCACAAATTTCGCAAAAGATCTCACTTTTCAAAGGAAGCAAGGCGAATTTACGGGAAAACATACTACTCGTATGCCTCCCCCGTCAGTAGTATCACCTTTACACCAGTAGGGCGTTTGTGTAGTAAACCAGGGAAGTGAGAAACACTACCTCGTTCATTTCTCATTTTCACGTAGTTGTACAGTTTTGTAGACTTGTTTATTTGGTAAGAATCTGCGGACATTTTCGTTCTTTCTTTACAGGTAAACCGAACCGTATCAATGACATTTCATTTGTGAGTGCATATAAAACATATCAACCAGTGCTGGTGAGTTGCGAATTCCGCATCTCTGAAAGAAAATCCCACTCTGTCTAGGAACAATTGGCATCCGCGAATCGAATGAGAGATCTGCCGTGATCGTACATGACATAAAAATATCGGTGGACAGGCAAACCGAATCTCCAGTTCATCCCATCGTCGCTGGAGCCACGGAACACGCTGAAACACCGGTTTTCTTTCCTCTGAAACAAAATTAAGTGGGTTGAAGTTAACTGAAATAAGCGGTGCTCATTGGATAAGCCAAAGTTTCGTCGAATGCAATTGGTACTTAATTGACTCCGATGATCAATTCGCTTGTCCCAGGCCAATTTTCGTAAAGCCCAAACACATAAGGAACGAGTTAAATGGTTTCTCAACAATACACACAAGTCGTTTGATTTCTACAGGCTGACAGTTATACGGGCATTATCTCCCCTTCAATTCGAACAGTGTATCAGCTATAAACCTTGTGCCATGAGCCCACTGGTTCCAGCTACAATAATTTCGGTCACCGGAAAGTAACGGATTGAGAAACATACGGTTAAGCGTTGGAGGTGGTGATATGCTCAGCTAGTTCTGGAAGTAGGAAGCGGTGCACTGAAGGCGATAGCTTTGATGCACGAATGCCACTAACTGCCGCAGCGTCACTGGACATTGGTGAGCTGAGATTCAGGACCCCCAACTAGAGAGACGGCAGTTGTCGACCCGAATATGTTTACTGGTTATTGTTTCAATAGTTCGTTGCCATTTCATAAACTGTCCATCTCTCGGTCGCTTCCACTCAGTACAGGGTTGAGCTCTGCGAGGAAGGTGGTCTCCTGGCATGCGGAGTACATATCCTAACCAGCACAACATATGAAGCATGAGTAACTGATCTATCGTGGGAGATTTCTTTCCTCTTAGGACCATCTGGCATAACTCAGCATTAATTATCTGATGTTCTATCCAGACCCGACCAATGCCTCGAAGACAAGCTACCCTGGCCTTCCAGCTTCAATAAGTAATCCCATCTACAACCAGTCAAGCGAAACTTATACAACTGCCCAGGTAAACAAATTTATCTGCCAGGTGGACTGGCATGAGGCCTGTGTGTAATCCCGCCCAGTCTTGTAGCAGCACTTCAAGCTTTGTAGATATAAAGCGCAAGCCAAAGTGTGCGGCAGATTTATTCAGGTTATTTAAGCGGTTCGCATTTTTAAAGGATCCGAATGAAGGAGAGCGTATTTACTGTCTGTTTTCGAGCGTCACGAAAGAATTTTGGCACCCGATGTTTCAGAGGCAAGAAGAGAAATGTCAAGCAGCAAAACAGTAACAAAACCGAGAAGGAAAGTCGAAAGAGGACAGTGGAGACCAGGCTAAATACTACGGATACAGGGCTGATGCCACGATGGTTTTTAACTGACACCCTCCTGTACTTCTGAATCCTCGAATGGTGGTCGAGGAGCTCAATTCCTTCGGTATTATGCTTTTCAACAAACTCTTCTGAAGCGTGGTCAACATACTGTTCACCAGGACCTCGTAATATTCTTTGGTAAACGCGTGATGCAGACCATCTGGATCAGATGTCCTGTCCATTTGAAGGATTGAATCTACGTATTTCATGGCGGGCTGACGTCGACGTGGCATTTATGCACACTGGGTTCTTCCAGTGGCTGTATTGAAGGAGACCAGTTGAAATGTTCTTTGGAATGTTTAGCTCATAGGTCAAGACGACGGGCTTATGAATGAATCGCCTTTATGGCAGCAATGGGATCTGCTGACCTCGAGGACGTCTAGTGTTTATTTAGTAGAATCGGGTGGCTGGGACAGACAGTTCTGAAACCTGAGAGCATAGATTCTTCATTTCCATTTTACTCAACTTCCAAGGAGTTTTCGTCATTCGCATGAGTGTGAGTTTCCAGTAGCTTTCTTGCCAGATCAGAAGGATATTCCTGAGCTACTGAAAGTTGTCGACACTTAGTGAATGGAAGTGCTCTGCTGTGGTACGTGTGGTGCTGATGGGAAG